CCTCTGAATTGTATGTCTGTTTGAGACTCAGATGTGTGTATGTGTGTGTGAGAGAGAGAGAGAGAGAGAGAGAGAGAGAGAGAGAGACTTAAGACACTTAAGCATGTTCCCTGCAAACAACACTTAACATCTGCATTCTGACTTTACAGGCTTTGAAGAATAGAAAACCTCAAGTCAATGTTCTGAATAGATGGTTCCACCCTTCCCCTTAGAATATGTCAGTAGAAAGAGCAAGCAGCACAGAGGAGACAACCTCAATTATCCTGGGGATTAATAGCAGGCATTAGTCATTAATCAAACTGGTATTTGATTTTCCAAGCAAGGTTTTGATTACTGAAAGATTATATATTAAAACTACAGAAGAAACACATTTTAACAGTGTGTGGGTTAGTGGGTGATAACAAGCTTTCAAGAGACAAAAAAAGAATCTGTACCACTAGTGTTTCAAGTCACAGATAAAAGAAATCACCAGGCTTTCTGTCCTCCATCAATGGTAAGCACACAGGAAATACTTACTTCTAATCTGTTTCACAATAGGCTTCAAGAGATCCAGCCACACCTAAAGAGGGAAAAAGAGCAAATGGAGACATAACTTCTCAATGAAAATGTACAAGGACTTTGAGACTACATGAAGCAATTTAAATGAAAATATTTTTGAGAATATAAGGTTGTCTGTTTCTTTCTTTTTCTCCCCAATGCCGTATTTTAAACTGTTAACTTCTTTTATAGAATGGGTCCAAATTTGCAGATACTGTACCTGAACTTGACAATTAAAATCTTTCTTAAGTTCAGATAAATGGCAAACGGGTTGAAGGTGCAGTTCAGTGGTAGAGCACATGCTCAGTAAACATGAGGCTCTGGGTTTGAACCCCAGCAATGCCAAAAAACCCCCCTAAAAATTAGAAACTAAGGATTTTTCTATTCAAATATGTTGTTATATTTACCTATTCAGAAAATATTAATCAATGAATAATTAATAAAAGATTGCTTAGTTACTAGTCAAATGAAATATATTTGTTTTCATAGAAATAAAATACATATATTGGATACTGACATACACAAAACAGTGAATCTTTGAGGAGCACAGGATGGGGTAAATATCTATAGACTTCATGCATTACATGTTGCCTAAAGCTAGCTACCTCTCAAAGCAAGGCAAAAGGATTCCTGTTACTCAGAAGAGAACTCCCAGGTGTCCCAGCTAGGCAGAGCCAGACCAAAGCAGGTTCACCCACCTCCAAGTCCTGACTCCTTTTTACCTGCATATTCCCTGCATAGAATCTGAGTAGTAAAAATTTGAGAAAAATTTGAGAAAATTTGAGAAACAGTAGTACACGTCTTTAATCCCAGCACTCTGGAGACAGAGGCAAGTGGATCTCTGTGAGGCCAGTCTGCTTTACATAGCAAGTTCCAGGCCAGTTGGGGCTATAAGGAAATCCCATCTCAAAATAATAAATATAAATAAATAAATAAATAAATAAATAAATCACAGGTAATTCACAAAGAGAGAATTTCAAAGGCTAAGAAGAAATGATGACATTTGGGAATAATTTGCACTGAAAATGCAAATTAAAACAATGCAATGTAATTTCTACACATAAAGATGCACCTAGATATGCCCCCATGTTCATGCATGCTTTATAATCTCCAAAGATGGCCAGGGCACAGGGAAACAGGTATGATCTCATCCATACTGACAGAATGGATGCACTGACACAATTTTTCTGAACTTATTAGGGAATAAGGAAGGTGTACCCACATATCCTCTTCCAGTCAGTCATCACTTGTAAATCATGCATTTATGCACACAAAATGTATACCCAAGGAATGTTAATTTTAACATTAACATTTTTGTATAATAATTAAATAAATAGTAAACACCTATGACATGTTACCAGGCAAGCATTAAGAATTATGCTCTTGGGGCTGGAGAGATGGCTCAGCAGTTAAGGGCACTGGCTGCTTTTGCAGAGGACCCGGGTTCGAGTCCCAGCACCCACATGGCAGCTGCGAACCATCCTTAACTCCAGTTCCAGGGGAATCCAAAGCCCTCTTCTGACCTCAATGGCATTGCATGACATGGGTGCACTCACATGCATGCAGGCAATACACTCATACACATAAAATAATAAAAATAAAGAATAAAATATTTAAACAAAGAATTATGCTCTTGATTATTTGTGGGTTTGTTTTTGGAGACAGAGTCTGATGTTACAGTCCTAACTAACCTAGAATTCACTATGTAGCCAGTTATAGCAAACCTCCTGCCTCAGCTTCCTGAGTGCTGAGATTATAGGCATGTACCACCATGCCAAGCCTCTTGCAAGAATATTTAAGAGTGTGGGAAAATGTGCTTTAAAGGGTGGATAGTGATGACTTCCTCTTCTTCCTTTATTCATTATCCAAATCACCTTATGTGAGCATTTAATTCTTTTTTTTTTTTTTTTTTTTTTTTGAGACAGGGTCTCCCTGTAGCTCCAGCTTTCCTGGAACTCACTATGTAGACCAGGCTGGCCCTGCTCTCACAGAGATTCACCTGTCTCTGCCTCCTGAGTGCTGGGGACTAAAGGTATATACCACCATGTCTGGCAGCACTCAATTCTTTTTAAAAAAATGTTTTTGTAAAATATTTTATTACTTTTCATTGTATGTGTATGAGTGTATTGCCTACATGTGTGTAAGGGCACCCATGTCATGTAATGCCCATGGAGGTGAGAAGAGGGTGTTGGACTCCCCTGGAGCTGGAGTTATGGATGGTTGTTAGCCATCATATGGGTGCTGGGAATCGAACCCAGGTCCTTTGCACGAGCAGCCAGTGCTCTTACCCAGTAAGCCATCTCTCCAGACCCTCAATTCTTATACTTAAAAAACGTTCAAAGTCTATATATTATATTATATTATATTATATTATATTATATTATATTATATTATATTATAAACTCCCTCATTACCTTCCCAAGTAGGTAGAAATCTATAGTAATAAAGTCCCCATTCCTACATCCCCATCATAGGCTGGCCTCCTGGGAGAGAAAGCAATGTAATTCCTCACCTACATTGAGGGACTAAAGCCTCAACCTCAAAAGGAAAAGAACAGTCATCCAAAGCAGATTTATCACGTTCCTCCCAAGATGACAGAAAGGTACCAAAAGATCTGCATCTGGTACTGGTAACAAAACAGACTCAAGTCTTGTTCTTCAAATTCACTCATTTGTTCAACCAAACATTCCCACCCCAGCCTCTGCTAGTCTCTGGACTACAATGCTGAGAGAAACAACCAGGGTCCTTGCTTCAAGGAGCTGACAGTCTTGTGAGGAAGACCCAAGTTTTAAAAAACCTGCCCAGCCATAGTAAAGAAGGGCCCGAGACAAATGTGATAGAGTTCAGAAGGCTCCAAGTGGTCAGGGAAGTTCTGTCTGCCATTGTGCTCTGCATTCTTTATGTGATGGCCACTCAGATGTGGCCACAAGAAGAGACTGAGGAGTGGCTCAGTAGGCAAAGTCATCACATTTACATTTCCTAGAGATCAGAGAGGCCCAGTATACCACTCAGGGCCACTAGAGAGGCACCGGAGTGGTGAGGGAGCAGAAGGAGAGGAGTTACAAGAGTGGCTAGGCCATGTCTCTACTGGAATTTCTGGGGAAAGCTAGGACTGGTCAGGGGAGGGCAGGGCAAAGCAGGTGAACAGTCGCAGGTGAGCTACTTGCAGTCTTCTGGCAGGCTGCAAGCTACTGGAGTGGTCCCTAGTTGCCTGGTACTTAGCTGCTGGATAATCCACAGAGAAGAATACTGCTTCCTGGGGTGGACAGGCCAGGAGGGAGGTCATCTGGCTCTGCATCGGTGAGGTGTGTTCATACCAAATGCAGAGCCCACCCAGCCTTCACAATCTCTAAGACACCTCCTAGATCCATCATGGAAGACTCTCCCCAAGCCGAGAGAGAGAAAGAAAGAATGAATCTCTCTCATTTTTGCTCTCCGCCCACCACATACACATGAGAGGAGTGGAAGCAGGGCAGGCTGCCTTGAAAATGAGATTGTTGAGATCTAAAGGATTGAGAACAAACTGACATGAAGCAGTATCAGCCCTTCCTTGGCATCAACAGCGAAGAGGAGGGCTCTGGTTTGAATATGTGTCCCCTTCAGAACTCTTGCTGGAATGACTGTCATGGTCACACTATTAGGAGGTAGCAAATCTGGCTATGAGGGTTCTCTCACATGACTAGATTAACACAGTTATCAAGGAAGTGCAGTCATCATAAGGGTTAAGTGGTTCCTTTTACTGTCAGACAGGCAGACTTTCTGCCTCTTTTTCTTTCCCCATATCACATGGGTACACGCATGTGTACCACAAGAATGTACCCTTACCCCACATCATATGACACATCGAGAAGGCCCTCGGCAGATGCCAGCACCTGAATGTGGAACTTCTAAGCCCACAACTATGAGCCAATCAGTCTGTTCATGATAAATTACCCAGTCTCAGGTACTGTATTATAGAAAAAACCAACCAACCAGCCAACCAATCATCAAGACAACTGACATGGCTATAGAGCAAAGCCAGCAGGTCAGGAGGGGCTGGACCACCAAGTCCATGTATGCTTTGTGCTTAACCTGAAAGCAATAGCAAGGACTTCACACATGGAGCGGACATGATTAGACTTGCATTTGAAAAATATCAGGCAGCAGTGTGAGAACGTATTAGAGAAAGCCCGAATGGAAGTGGACTGATCTGTTTTGACTGTCCAGGCAAACACAGAATGGCGTTCTGCAGAGAGAAGCAGAGCTGGGAACAGTGAGTAGAATAAATGATTATTTACAAGGTGGCACCCCACTTTCTGTGAAAGGCATCTGGCCAGATGCTGATTGAGACAGGAAGTCCTGGAAGAGCACCAGGGGTATAAGATTCCAGGGGTGCTGATTTTCTGGGGTGTTCCTGAATCACCCTGGAAGAGTTAAGAAAGGAGGGAACACACTTGTCTGGTGCTCAGAGAAGTCTGGCAGGTGATCTTATGTGTAGAATTCATGACTGTGTTAATGTCTGTGAAGCCCTGAGAATGACACATAACCAGCCTCTGTGGTTGCTCTGAGGACTGTCCTTGTTGCCAGTGTTCACAGGACCTGTCTAAACCTTTCTTTGAAATTTATTATTTATTTTTATTTTATGCATATGTTTTGCCTTAGGTATGTAAGTGCATGGTGTGTGCAGTGTCTGTGGAGGCCAGAAGATGACATTGGATCCCCCTGAACTAGAGTTACAGATGGTTGTTAGTCACCATGTGGGTGCTGGGAACCAAACCCAGGTCTTCTGCAAGAGTAGCTAGTGTTCTTAACCACTGAGTCATCTCTCTAGATTCCCCTCCCCCAAACTCTTGCAAAGGACAAATTCACCATGTGCCAGTAATGTAGCTGCCAACTTTACCAATTGTTTCTAAACACCCCTCCTCTGTTTTTGGCATTTATTTGGAAAGAATCAAATACAAGCACTGATTTGAGCCAAACTGAGCATGTGGCTTTATACTGTGCAGGTCTGGGAACATGAGATCAGCCTGAGTTAAACAGGCA